TTCAACAGAATCATTGTTTTCGCCGTGAAGTGTAATGAGACAGACAACATACACTAGGGCGTGTGTGCGAATTATGATTCACATTGGGAAAACTATAAAATGTCTAGATATTACAGTCCTGTTATAAATTCACTATAAGTATCAGCAGATAGTCTGCTTTTTATTTAGTTTCAAAATGCATACAAGCATGATAATAAACTAATTAGGATTATAAGACAAAATATAAAGACGTACATTGACTAGTATCTACATACTGTTGAGTGGACGTTAACCACGTGAATGTCGCAAGAAATTTATCGCGCACTATTGTCACTTCGACCCCCACCTCGCTTCCGTGGAAGAAATCGTTATGTTACAAGTTGTGTCATGCAAAATCCTTTTGGTCATGATTCAAATACATATTTAACTACGAGTAGAAAGTAGTTTTGATTTTCTAACTTGATGAAAACAAACCATAATCTCATTAATTCGAACAGACTTTAGCCCGTGACTTTACGATTTTCAAAAATGGCGGCGCCCTGTCGCGAACATCCGCCAGTCTGAGGATAAATGCTATTTAGTTTTGTTTTCACCGAGTTACAAAATCAAAACTACTTTCTACTGGTAGTAAAATATGTATTTGATGGATGGCCAATAGGATTTTGCATGACATAGCTTATAACATAACAATTTCTCTCGTGGAAGCGAAGTAGGTGTCAATATAATACCACTTACAATATTATTGTTACATCGACCACAACCTCGCTTCCGAGGAAGAAATCGTTATGTCACAAGTTGTGTCATGGAAAATCTTTACGGTCATCAATCATATGCATATTTTACTACAGCTTGTAAGTGGTTTTGGTTCTTTAACTTCCGTGAAGCGATCTGAACACAAGTAAGATATCGTTTCAGACTTCCACAACGCTCGCTTCGCACTCACAAACATAACCCATTTAGCACAAACTGTGGGGTCGTGTGGAAATCTGTGCATGGTGACACCATCGCCCGACCCCTAGGAGCAATTGACGGCAACGCAACGATTCGGCATGTCTTCGTTGATGTCGAGAAATCATCAAAATACGAGCTTGCTACACACTTTATATACAACTAACTGAAAATCCTTCCTGAAATGGCGTCACTGCAGTGCTCTGGCAACAGAGTTACGTAACCTGTCTGTGGTTTCGTTGGCGGGCAAGAGTGAAGCAGGCGACTTTTGGCAATCGCTCGGTATTAATTAACCACAGTTTTGTTAAGAATGAATTTGGTGTTCTGCATAAAACTAACCACAAATCGTTTATATGTAATGGTTACAAGACTACAAAAAAACAAAGTTTATTTGTTCTTTCAGTGAACTCGGATGTTTTGCTTCAGGGTATAGGTGGCAATTCTTCTGCTCCTCTCCGTTTTGTGAATTTGACTTCAGATCTGATTTCTGTTAAGGTGAAAGTTGGTGTTCTTGACTCTCTGCCAGTTCCGGGTGTCGATTTGTTGATCGGTAATGATCTTCTGGGGGCCTAAGTTGGTGCTGATCCCACTGTCACTGTTTCTCTGGAGAGTTCAGTTAGTACAGACAAGTTGGAGGATGAATTTCCGGGTATTTTTCCTTCTTGTGCAGTGACTCGTTCAATGTGGAAAGGCATTTCTTTCAAGACTTCTTTGTCAAATGATTTCATTAATGATTTGTCAGGTACTTTCATGGATCATACGTTTCCTGAGGCAGAGGCTGATGACGTATCAAGTCTGATAGTTTGTCAGGTGGTGATCACATTCTTTCCAGAGAGCAGCTTATTAGTGCGCAGGGCGAGGATGTTGAATTGCAGAAGTTGGCTAGTACGGCTGTTTCTTTTGAGGAGGTTAGCTAGGTTCCAGTTTGTTATTTCTTCAAGGATGGTGTTGTGATGAGGAAATATAGGTCGCCGGAAGTTCCCGCGGAGGATGAATGGAAATTGTATCATCAAATTGTGGTACCAAAATTATTTCAAAAGCATGTACTTTCCTTGGCACAAGAAAGTCCCATGGCAGGTCATCTGGGTGTAAACAAAACGTGTGAGAAAGTTTTGGCACATTTCTTTTGGCTCAGTTTGAGACAAGATGTGACTGAATTTTGCAAGACCTGTCATGCATGCCAAATTGTTGGAAAACCAAATCAGAAAATTCCTGCCGCTCCTTTAAAACCAATACCGGCTTTTGAGGAACCTTTCCGTAGAGTTATTATATGTCTGGTAATCAGTATCTTCTCACTATCATGTGTGCTTCTACCAGAGTTCCTGAAGCAATTCCACTTCGTAGGATTGTTGCTCCTGTGATTGTCAAGGCTTTGATCAAGTTTTTCACCTTAGTTTGTTTGCCAGATGTTGTTCAGTCTGATCAGGGCTCAAATGTTATGTCTAAGGTGTTTCAACAAGCTATGTACCAGTTGGGTATTAAGCAAGTTAAGTCGATTGCTTATCATCCGGAGTCACAGGGAGCTTTAGAGAGGTTTCATCAAACTTTGAAGAATATGATCAAGACTTATTGTTTTGAGACAGAGAAAGATTGGGATGAGGGTGTGCATTTGTTGTTTGCTGTTATGGGAGTCAGTTCAGGAAAGTTTAGGGTTTAGCCCCCTTTGAGCTTGTATTTGGTCATAGTGTGTGCGGGCCACTCAAACATCTAAAAGAACAATGGCTCAATCACAATCCTGAGATCAATCTTTTAGACTATGTGTCTACATTTCGGGACAGACTTTCAAAAGCATATGAGTTGGCCAGAGAAAACTTCACAAGCAAAAATGAGGTTAGTGACACAGACTATGTCGTCCTGACGCCTGGCCGTCATAAACAGAAGAGGTTGTGTCATGTAACATGATTCAAAAATACCATGACAAGGTTAGAAACCAAACAGGTCAATTGTATTGCCACACTCTCTCCAGTTACTGATTGTACTAAAGACAATGGTGACAATATTGATGATGGTGTTAGCAATGTGAAGTTTGATGACCTTAGTGATAATGTTTCACCAAAGTTAAAAACATTTCTTATGTGTTAGCTCACCTTGATGAGAAACTATCACATTTATCCCCTGAGCAGAAAGTTCAAATGTGAGTTTTGATTCATGAGTTTTTTTATTTATTTCCTGTGTGCCTGGCCGAACTAATGTTGTTAGCCATGATATAGATGCAGGTGATTCTGTGCCTGTAAAACAACACCCATATCGTATGAATACTGTAAATTCTGAGATTCTGTGGAAAGAAGTGAAATACATGCTGGACAATGACATTATTGTACCCAGTGACAGTCCGTGGAGTTCACCATGTGTTCTTGTGCCGAAGAGTGGTGGAGGTGGTTGGCACTGCTGTGCCGATATGAAAGCTGTCAATGCACTTTCACAAACTGATTCTTATCCAAATCCGAGAGTGGACGATTGCATTGATTTCATTGGTCAAGCTAGATATATACGTAAGTTTGACTTATTGAAGGGCTTCTGGCAGATTCCACTCACAGACCATGCAAAGAAAATCTCGGCATTCGCGACACCAGATGGACTGTATCAATACAAAGTTATGCCGTTTGGTCTGAAAAACGCACCAGCAACATTCCAGAGACTCGTCAACAATGTCACATCTGGTCTTGATAGTGTCGAAGCTTACATGGATGATGTCATCAATTACGACATGGAGTGGAAGACCATCTGAAGAGAATTCATGCTTTCTTCAAAAGACTGTCTGAAGCAAAAGTGACTGTGATTCTTGCAAAGTATTAATTTGGGAAGGTACAAGTTGAATTTTTAGGGCATATCGTAGGGCATGGCCAGGTACAGCCAGTTCATGCTAAGGTTGAAGCACTTGTACATTTTCGAGTACCTAAATCTAAGAGAGAACTTATGAGATTCTTGAGTATGGCAGGCTATTATAGAAAGTTTTGTCAAAATTTCTCAGATGTTGTATCACCACTTACCAACCTTTTTGGGGAAAAGGTAAAGTTCCAGTGGGATAGCAGTTGTCAGACTGCATTTGAAAAGGTCAAAACCATACTCATGAATTCTCCAGTATTGCAGGCACCAAATTTTGAGAAAGCATTTAAGTTACAAATTGATGCAAGTGATGTAGGTGTAGGTGCGGGTGCTGTCCTGATTCAAGACTTTTCTCCACAAAATGAAGAACAAGAATCAAAGACTTATGCGGTGAAGTTTGACATTGCAAGGGTTCAATGTTGTGATTAGGCACATTAAAGGCAAAGACAATGTTTGTGCTGATGTACTTTCCAGGTTGTAAATGCATAATGACTTGATGCTGCTGTATGTTTGTATATGCATTATATCATAGTAATTCTGCCAGATGTTTCTCATGTTATTCATGTTATTCATATTATTACATGTCATCTAATTATGTTAGTTATCTTGCTATGATTGTAACAGAAAGTTATGAGAGTGGGTATTTTTGTAATTTGTAACATCACATTGATTAAGTGATAATTATTATGGATCACAATGTTTAAAGTTTTGAGTGTGGGTCAATAGTATTTGTAGTGGCATGCATTTTTGATAGCGCTTCAGAGTTTCCTCCCTTGGCAATCTTGTATATTTATGGCTTTCATCATGCCGTGTGTTCCACATGATTCCATAACGTGCTAAGAGAATAATGATGGAGCCTAGCTTTGCTAGAATGCTCGAGAACTGTGTAAGAGCTATATGTTCTATGACGTTTCCATATTTGTAAAAAGCATATCAGTGACCCTGTCGTTTGTTGTTTGCAGTAAATTATTCAAAACCGATCTACCGTTGTTTGTATTTATTGTATTAAAAATTCTATCCATTTTAGCTATAATAACGGTAACACTATTTTTCAGGGCATTATCATTTGCAGAAGCCCTCGGATTTTTCAACTGCCATCCTTCATCGGGCAGTTAATGAAAGACTTCGGGCTTCTGCAAATGATAATGCCCTGAAACATAGCGTTACCGTTATATTGAAAAGTGTGGTCAGGTCAGAGACTTTGAACTGAGTACAGACAGAAGGTTTCGTGCTGGTAAATCGTTTTATCATCACCTGGATAGCAGAAATATATATACTGACGTAGCATCATCGAGCGATGACACACTGACACGGCTTATGAACAATGCGACACAAACCTCACGAATACTTTTAATTTATTCCTTTCATCTAATACACTACCAGTGACATTATAAACCATGCTCACATTTTAGCTCAACCACCAGAATCGATGAATAATAAATGGTAACCTGGACGTTCTATGAAATACTTGGAAACAGATAATTCAGGATCAGTAATAATGCCTACTTTTGTATCTTGAGTATGTGATCAATTTTATTGTCAAATGATGTCCAAATTAAGGTTGACAGCGTTGATTTAGGTATAATGCGAATTAGGTGGAGGTTTGACTAATGCCTGTTTATTGTGTAAAGATAAATAAAGGAGTGTAAAGAACCGATTAAGCTCATGAAATGTGCCACAGGGGGTGTACTGCAGCTCTATGAAACAGCATGATACACTACAGTAGTTAGAAATACCTTGCTTTGCCACTTTGCTGTTCATTAATCAAAAGTGTTCATTGTCATACTCTATTTGTCTCCAATGGCTGAAGGGAATTGATCCACAATATGTTCCCCGGTCGATGACTATCGCTTTCCGGTTTAGTTCTGTATAATCAAATGCCTTATTCCTCGGACACTGTACCAGAATGTTGCTGAAGTCTGTCCTTTGTACTCCAGCTTTCATAGCCAACACAACACTGACATACAAGTCATCCATGCTCATTAGCCTGTTGGCTTCAGAAACTTTGTACATGGCAGCCCAACTTTCTGGAGTTGTCAGATAAGCGAAACCTAAACAAAATGGTGGTAGAACAGAAAAGGGATACTCCGATTCTGGAGTGTGCCATTTTGACCATTTGTTTCTGACAGGACTTCGATATTGTAACAATTTGCATTCAATGGTGAGCCCTTGAGGTTCAGTTCTCAGAATATGGTCAATAATTCTGTATGGATTGACAAACGTGTCGTCATCCAACTTCAGAATGTATTTAGCTTTACAGCTATACTTGAACCAGTGCATTGCCATAATATGTTTCCTCACGAGATTCTTGTAGGAGTCTGGGAAATTCCCTTGCACAATATCATCATATCTCCGGGACTCGTGTCGTAAAAGGACCTGTGCTCGTTGCTGCTTGACTGCTGCTAACATAAACACAACAGCTATGTTTCTGTTTCTGTAAGATCCAATCGATCCAAAGGTTTCTCGTATCAGATTCCTCTTTTGAGTATTCCCAGGAGCCGAATGAACGATAATAGCCAAGAAGGTGGAACCATATCTACATCGCTTGGAGTCAAGGGAAAACTTGTACCTATGAAGATTGACAAAATCGTCTTTCGTCTCATTAGTCTTTAACTGAAAGAATTCCGATATAAGTGGAGTAATGTCTTTACCTCGTACTAAGGTAGGAGGGAATTTTGCCATCGTTGCGTTTCTTTGTGGTGCTGATGTTGTAGAGGAAGACGTGATGTTACGCCACTTGTTCAGCAGACTTTTCCTGGTGGTTCTTGGGTTTGAAATGTCACGCTCCTCAACTCCATGTGACGAAACGTTTCCCCACAGATGAGTAACGACGTTCCCTCCACCATTGACCACCCCATGATTAACTCCACAGAGTATGTCTCGTTTCCGTATAGACCGATACATCATGGCCCATGCACTGACATAAATGTACACGGATATGCACAATAACACCACACTGGTGTAGACGTGTCTCTGCCGGGGAATACAAGCCATGACTGATCTGTGAAGTAATCAACAGATTGTCATGAAAACAGTTCTATATACGGACCGCAGCTGTTGTATGCCTATGTGTCTAGGCGCAGTCTGGACCAAATATATAACGATTCCACATGTTTAACTTGCGCATGTTTGTAAAGATTTTGCGTAAGCAAGACTGAGTAAATTTGTACTCGAGCAGTAAGATATCGATAATTGGGTGTTGCGTACACTCATTTCTGCACCATAATTCAATGGACTTTCAACTAAAGAAATCTAAAAATAATAATAATACAATAATGTTAATATTTGTAAATCGCCTGAATCCAAGGTTGGCTCTAAGGCGCTTGGTCAAATGCTCTGTTGAAGAGAACTGTTTTTAGTTCTTTTTTTAATGGAATGATGTCTGACAAGTTTTTTCAAATTTCAGGTAGTTGGTTCCATAACAGAGGCAAAAGCTCTATCGGCATAACTCAGTCTGCGGGTAGCTAGAGGGCACTGCTGCTTGTTTTGCAGAGGCTGATCTCAGAGTTCGTGATGGCTGATACCATGACACTAGTTCAGTCAGATATTCTGGAGCTTGGTTGTTAAGGGTCTTGTGCACAAACACCAACACCTTGAAAACAATTCTTTGTCTTATTGGCAGCCAATGCAGTGTACGTAATGTTGGCGTGATGTGTTCATATTTGCCTGCACCAGTGATGAGTCGATAGTTTGCTGTGATATGCCAAACATTAGAGAGTTGCAATAACCAGTGCTTGGAAAAGTAGTTAACATTTGAATTCTATCGATTGTGGTTCCATGTTTTCCGTTATGCCTCACTGGTTAAAAGTCACTTGTGACTTGAAAAGACCAGATACGTTACCTTTATTTTGGCCCCCCTTTGCTGTGTTTTTTGTTTTGAACATTTTCCGTTATGCCTCACTGGTTAAAAGTCACTTGTGACTTGAAAAGGCCAGATACGTTACCTTTATTTTGGCCCCTTTTGCTGTGTTTTTTGTTTTGAACATTTTGCCCATGTTTTGTTGGTTTGATTATTGACATGATATTGAACTATTATTTAAGGATAAAAGCTAAATTTTATGGGAAGTCACTTTATTCACTGAGAAAACTAGAACGAATCCCTTGTAACTGCTAACAAAATAGCGGCCATTGTGGTTGTTCGTTTGGATTTGTACTACAGTTTTTTTTCTGTAAACAACGTATGAATGAATTGATGTACTAATTATCGTATCTGGTTTTAACCAAAATGGACAGGTTGACTTTATTATGTTGTATCTTTGGACACATCTCAGCGTAAACTGAATGTGGTTACAATACCATTGAAACTCAATACCATTACCATTTATTATGTTGAAAAATGAAGAGATCCAGAAGTTATATTTTGGTCAGTTACCAGTTCACAATGTGCAGCTTTAGTGGAGAAGGAACCTAAGCCACCTAAAATTCATATATAGGATAGTGAGGGTTAGGATAGCGAACAGTCTGAGGACGGGTAATGGGCTAGGGCTAGGGAATAGTGTAGCGACGGGGAAGAGTGTTAGGGTGGGTAACAGTGTGAAGAGAGGGAAGCATGTGGGGACAGGAAAGAGTGTTAGTATAGGGAACAGAGTCGGGACAGAAAAGAGAATTTGAGACAGGGAACAACCTGAGTACAGGGAAGGATGTTACGATAAGAAACAGACTGGGGACGAGAGTGAAGAGTGTGTGGGCAGGGAAGTGTGTAGTATAGGAAACAGTGTGGGGACAGAAAAGAGTATTGGGGACAATCTGAGTACAGGGAAGGGTGTTACCATAGGGAACAGACTGGAGACAGGGATGAGCGTTAGGGTAGGGTAACAGTGTTAGGACAGGGAACAGTCTGAGGACAGCGATGTTACGACATGATTAGTATAGTGAAGGGTGTTGGGATAGGAAACAGTCTTTGGACAAGGCAGGCCTAGGGTGTTAGGCTAATGAAGGGTATTGGGATAGGGACAGCAGCGAAGGATGTAAGGATAGGGAACAGTGTTGGGACAGGGAAGGGTGTTAGGCTAGGAAAGGGTATTGGGGTAGGGACAGCAGCGAAGGATGCAAGGATAGGGAATAATGTTGGCACAGGGAAGGGTGTTAGGCTAGGAAAGGGTATTGGGATAGGGACAGCAGCGAAGGATGTAAGGATAGGGGACAGTGTTGGGACAGGGAAGGGTGTTAGGCTAGGAAAGGGTGTTGGGATAGGGACAGCAGCGAAGGATGCAAGGATAGGGAACAGTGTTGGGCCAGGGAAGAGTGTTAGGCTAGGAAAGGGTATTGGGATAGGGACAGCAGCGAAGGATGTAAGGATAGGGAACAATGTTGGGACAGGGAAGGGTGTTAGGCTAGGAAATGGTATTGGGATAGGGACAGCAGCGAAGGATGCAAGGATAGGGAACAGTGTTGGGACAGGGAAGAGTGTTAGGCTAGGAAAGGGTATTGGGATAGGGACAGCAGCGAAGGATGCAAGGATAGGGAACAGTGTTGGGACAGGGAGGAGTGTTAGGCTAGGAAAGGGTATTGGGATAGGGACAGCAGCGAAGGATGAAAGGATAGGAAACAGTCTTTGGACAAGGCAGGGTGTTAGGCTAATGAAGGGTATTGGGATAGAGACAGCAACGAAGGATGTAAGGATAGGGAACAGTGTTGGGACAGGGAACGGTGTTAGGCTAGGAAATGGTAATGGGATTAGGGACAGCAGCGAAGGATGTAAGGATAGGGAACAATGTTGGCACAGGGAAGGGTGTTAGCTATAGGCTGGGAAAGGGTATTGGAACAGGGTCAGCGAAGAATGTAAGGGGAGGGAACAGTGTTGGCACAGGGGCGGGAGTACCCAGCTGTGATGTTGCCAGCACCTCACGTTCCTCACCCAACAATACAGTCACTGTTGACGGGTTCATGACATTTACCAAATAGTCGCTTGAACCGGATGCCGACAGCATGCAGTCTCTCACTCATGACTGTGTACCTGCTGCTGATGAGGTGACCCAACGCTATTGATGCTGATGACGTCACTGTGAGCATCAGCTGAGCAGACGAAGAACGCGCAGGTGATGGTCATTTTATGGGGTCGTCACTCTCGGTCTTTCAGTTCTGGGGCTATCCGATATCTGTAAAATCTGGTTTACGCGTCTCATTAGACTCATGATAGTTGTGTTTGTCCATCTGAATGTTCTGTCAGTATGCCTGTTTAAGCCCCCATCTCTGACATTCCAATCGCTCTTTCTCGTTCCGCTGCTAACGATCTTGTCATTTCGATGTATTCCCTTATAGTGGTATACTGCTAACCATCCATGCTTTTACACTGTTGATGCGTAACATGAAGTTGCGATTCAGTAGAATCATGATTTTCATGGTGTCCAACGCTCAAAACTGTGAAGGATATCTGTCTTGTTTGGGCAAAACGTACGTAATGTTTGTAAACTGTAAGTCACAAGCTATATATTTCTCAAAATGTCTAAGTTGTTTGTTGAAAAATAATCCCACAAACGCCAAGTGTGTACTTTCTTTTGTACGTCAGTTTAGTTAACCGTATGTGATATGTAAACGATCACCGTACATCGCCCATGTCAAGCCCTAGCTCAGCCAATATAAGTGGGTATCGGTTGGTGTGTAACATGGCAATAAACGAAAGTTTATTGTTTTCTCAACCACCTGCACGGATAGAAAGAGGCCTCACATTGATCGTTGGACTCACTAAGACTGACTGACTGAGTTTGGTTTTACGCCGCTTTTAGTAATATTCCAGCAATATCACGGCGGGGGACACCAGAAATGGGCTTCACTCATTGTACCCATGTGGGGATTCGAACCCGGATCTTCGGCGTGACGAGTCAACGCGTTAACCACTAGACTACCCCACCGCCCCTGACTCACTTAGAAGTCGTACTTAGGTCGTCGTTGTGGTCTAAATAAGGAATCTGATGTAATATTCTCATGGTTTAAGGATGCATTTTACCATACATCATCCGCCTGTGGACAAGAGCTGCCCACAGCTCGGATAAATTAAACACGAGATCAGGTCAGATTTACTGAAAGTTACAACACAAGATACACAATACAAGCAAAATAGGGTGGCAAATTTCGTACACGAAATGTTAACCAATTTAAAACTAGTTGTAATAGACTAATATGCCAAAGAATAAGAGATAACCACAACACATATACATCACACACATATTATGAGATTATAACACAACATTAAATAAGAGTCAATATAGAATGTCAAAATAATCGATTATTGCCAAATACAAATTTCACATATCTCTGGAATTATTGAATACAAATTTGGCTCAGGATTTCTCGAAACAAACTTAAGTTTTTACTCAGATTTCAAACTGGGTTTTACAATATGAAAGCCCAAACAACTTAAGTAATCTAGCCACCAAACTCAAATTGTCTACTAAGTTTGAGTATAATATCGATTTCAGTTCATTCTGGGAAATGCATTTTCCTGCGCTTTTTTCAAATTTGAGTAAAAACGCTAACTTAAGTCGAAACTCAGACTTGAGTTTGTTTCGAGAAATCTGGGCAAATTTTAAACCATTTTGTAGTCTCAAATGCTACCCTACTGACAACTGTTCATATCGCTGACAAATGACAAAACGTTCATAGCTTGTTGAACTCGATCATATGACATGTAGAAATAAACAACACGTGACAGATTGCAACGACTGAGAGGTTAAGGTAACTTTAATGTGCTGCCTGCGATGTGGATTATGTCAGAGGTAACTGGAAAGCTGCTCCACGTTTTAATCAACTACCATGAATCTTTCCAGAAATATATATGGATTGTGTGGGCGTGCTTTCAAACACTTTATCATCAAATCATAGATGCGGGATTATGAAAACAATAATTTTCTGGGAGAGTTTCGAATGGTTTTAATAAAAATAATAATATGAAGAAGAATCTGAAATTTGAGGTTGATTTTGTTGATGGCAATGTGCTGTTGGACGGTACAGCGATGGGAGTAAACCAGGTGAAGTCCTTCACCAAGTCTGCCCAGAGTTGGTCATTCATGGAGAAGCTTTCTGACTAACCATTGCATCGTGTGTACATGCAGTGTGTGGAACAGAATAGCATTCCCACCGACTCCTTCGCCTGGATGAAGTCGGCTGGTCTTAAATGTGAAACTGAGGGCTTTCTTTTTGCTGCTCAGGACCAGTCACTTCCAACTCGCAATCGCCTAAATGTGATTCTTAAAGGTCACATGCAACGTAAAACACAACTTTGCAGATTCTGATACCTTTCGGTATGGACTTACCGAAACAAATCATCAAAAATGCTAATTCAACTTATAAAGTTGAAAAATAACGCGATGAAAAAAACCGCGCGAAATCGGAGTTCAAACGATTCACTAATTTTCCCCCGACTTTTCGGGGGAAAACGGGTTTCAATAGCTGGGCTGCGCTCATAGCACGTGCGCAGTGCAAGAGGTTCGCGCAACTTGGAAGCGGGCTGTCCAGTGAATACTCGGTGAAGGCTTTGGTGTGAGCTATTTTCATAATGTTTTGTTGAAATCTCACAGGCGCAAGCTTTTTATATGTTATGTCAGTAAATAAACTGTTTATATAATTTCATTTGTCTATTTCACCACACGTTCTTCTTACCGAGTCACTTTCTCAATTCGATACTTAAAAGCAATGTCATTATTTAGCGTTGACAGAATTTCTAACTGTGATATAGATATGTCGTTGTCACAGACAAAACTCAATGTCTTGTTTTATTGACACCTGTGTGTCTGCCTGCCTGTCTGCTAATGACAATATTCAATACACAACTGCGATCACTGACCACATGCAATTTGAACTTAACACCAATCAGGCTATACACCATAAACAAAACGCATTGATTTATGGCCCGAGTTCGGTCTCTGTCACATTATGTAATTACACAGACAGGCAGGTGTGATACTTGAACACATGACATGTTATGATGTCTGTTGATTGCAAAAAAGTTATACACAAAAAAATGAGCATGTATTTACAAAACCCAACATCTCTATATATACACACACAATGAGCCGTGAAGGCATCTGCAAATGAACCAGCCGTTACACATGAGTGCACACCCACCCGCTCTGACTGGGCTCGGTATCCCGGCTGCTTCGTTTCTTGGGAAGTAAACCCAAGTACAAAATATTGCACTTTTGATTTGCGATTGTACGCTTATAACTTTGTTTATATGTCTTTTCATAACCAGCAATGTATATTATATGTCATGAATAAGTGATAATTGTGTTTTAATTATGTTTGATTTTCTGGTTGCATGTGACCTTTAAAGAGAATATTAACATGAAATGTCGACTTTGCAATGAATTCACAGAGACTGTCCATCACCTTGTCAGTGGATGCCCTTCCTTGGCACAAACAGCATATCTTAAACGACATGGCTCGTTGCTTTTACTACCGTCTCCGCCATGCCTGTGGCTTTGACTCCGAGGTCCATCCATGGTACGACCCTGAACATGTCCAGGGCGTCATGGAAAATGATGCTTTCAAATTTCTGTGGAATAGGCCCATATACAGCATCAGAAGAATTCCTGCCAACAAACCTGATCTCGTCCTTTTTGATAAAGCCAATGAATTTATATATACTAGCCACATAAAGAAACTGTGCATTGTCAAAATATTATCCCAGTTGATAAGTACGATAACAATGTCAAAGGTACATATAAACTTTAATGGAGGGATCATGAGACTATAACAAGTCGGGAGAATTTCAATTGAAAAGTCAATCACAATGACGTCACGAGTCCACAAGCGGGACAGGGGTCACACGACCATGTCACAAGCTCAATAACGGATATGTCCACCATCGGCATTGAGAACAGCAGTGCATCGACGACGCATAGAGCCTATCAAACGTGCAAGGAAGGCTTGTGGGATGTCACGCCAGATTCTCTCAAGTTCTGTTGCAAGGTCAAGGACGTTATCTGGCGGATGAGGAAGACGTCGTAGACGTCGATCCATCTCGTCCCAAACATGCTCTATCGGGGGAGAGATCCGGTGAATTTGCAGGCCAAGGCAGTAAGTCAACGTTGTGGTGTTGCAAGAAATCCATAGCAACCCTTGCCGTATGAGGGCGGGCATTGTCCTGTTGGAATGTTAACCCAGGGCCATGACGTTGCAGAAAAGGAATTGCCACAGGTCGAAGAATCTGATCTCTGTAGCCCACACCAGTTAAGTTGACCTGAACAATCACCAAAGGAGTTCTTTGGCGTGCTGTTATTCCACCCCAAATCGTCACGGAACCTACACCAAAGCGATTCCTCTCCAAGACACAGGCCTGTGCATAACGTTCTCCCACGCGTCTATAGGCACGTTGACGTCCATCACTATGGGAAATGTTAAACCTGGACTCATCTGTAAAAACAACATTTCTCCACCAAAACAAGGGTCTGCGGACATGATTTCGGCACCACATTCAGCGAGCTTGTCGATGACGTTGTGTCAGGATAGGCCGTATGGCGGGACGTCGTGGTCTGATCCCGTGATGACGTAAACGTTGTCGAACTGGGTTGGGGTGGATACGGCGAAGTCCTGGGATGGTTCGGGCAGTCATCACTGCAGTCTGAAACCTGTGGCGAAGATGGGTCACCCTTATCCATCTGTCCTGTCTTGGCGTTGTTACACGTGGACGTCCAGAACGTGGCCGATCGATGACGTCATTTGTGTTCTGGTAGCGTCTCACCAGTGCAGAAATGGTG